TAAAAAGTTTTAATTAAACACTTGAGAGTATGTTGAGAGTATTTATATATATATGTACCTAAATATACTATATACAATTCGCCTCATCATCGGCCTGTGAAATTCTGCACACGTCATTTCCCATTGGCATGAATTTGCATTTTCAGCAACTCATTTCAATATCCTTTCGCTTGTTTTCATTGAGTAAATGTCGCTGGGGAAGGAGTAAAGGGGCAAAGGCGGTTGGGGGCTGGGCTGGGGACCTAGACCTAGACGACGACGGAAGTCATTTATTTAATATGCGCCAACATTATCCTTTATTATGGCGGTTTTGCATTTCTGTGCCTTATGAGCTGGCACGCCACCCGAAGGGGTCGCTGCTGAAGTCTCGCCTGGTCCGGACTGCCCTGGCTGGGGCAATACCAACCTGATTGAATCTACATGGTCTGAACGTCAAGTGTGAGTGGGTGTGTGTGTGCGTGTTGTGCTATGCGAATTCAATTTTGGTAATGGCTGTTGGAATTTATTTTTGTTTCAGGAAATCAATTAAGTACTTTAAATTGTTCAAATTGTGCTTCAAGCTTAACAGGAAATACATGAGATAAGATCGAAGCAGAATTATTTTTATTAATTGTGTATGATTAGATTAATTGGTGCTCAAATAGAAAATCCCTCTAGACATATGAGTTATTCATATGACCCTATATTAAGAGTAGAAAATAACAGATGACTATTAAAGAGAGAGATGTAGTGAGAGACAAAAATATAGAGATAGAAAAATAAAGAACGAAAAAGAGAAAGAAAGAGAAAACAGGAAACAGAACGAGAGAAGCAGAAAGAGAGAGAGAGAGAGAGAGAGAGAGAGAGAGAGAGAGATGAGATGTCAGAATATATATAGAGGGGGAGAGAGAGAAAAAAAAGAGAATGAGGGAAGAAAAGTCATAGTGTGTAAGATACACATACAAATGTGTATAGAGAGATGAGAAAGAGATGTTAAGAGCGAAGGAGGAATCAAGTGAGATAACAAAAAAATAAAAGAGACAAATACAAACTGATGATCAAGCTTAGCGAAAGAACTAAGCAAATAGAAAGAATGAAAAAATGAAATCGAGCAATAAAATAGAGAAAATGATTCAGAAAGTGGAAAAGTCAGAGTGAGTGAGAGACAAATGGAGTAAGTAATAAACTAAAAAAAAAGCAAACAGCGAGAAAGAGAAAGAGAGAGAGAGAAAGAGAGAGAGAGAGTGAGAGAGAGACGGTGGAATAAGTGTGGGAGAAGAAAGTGTCAAAGAAATATGAGTTATTGTGGGAGAGTCAGAAAAAGAGCGTAAACCAAAGGACAGAACAAAAAAAAACATTTGTTTATATGAACGCCACAATAAACGCAATTAATTTAAGAACTAATTTGAAACTAATCGATTTTGAATATCTGCCATGTATATAGCATAACCTTACACTGTTATTCCCACAGCCCTGCTTTGTATCCCACCCTTTTCTTTGCCACTCAATAAATATCTCAAAATGGGCGGGTCAATATCTAAATCGTTTTATGACCAACATCATGGACAATTTGCCGCCCGAAGGGCCAAAACTTTTATTGTCTGGCCAAAAGGAAAAAACTTTAGATTGTCAATTGCTTGAGAAGTGGGAAAGCCACTTAAAGTTGTGTTCTACTTAAAGCTCGTCAGCTAGCTAATTATATACCTTTTACTTGAGCTATTTGTATGCTAAGATTTATGTGCCTCCTGCGCAATTTCATCTAGGCATATTTCAATATCATATTCTGGGTGGTTTCCATTCGAATTATACACAGATTTGTCGCGCTCTCTGCTATCTGCAGGCGGCGAGTAGACACACTTTAGCATATCAACAAATACGCTTATGTCCTTGTGGTGGTAACCCAGCTTCTTAGCCTCACTTCTCCAACAGGCAGACATCAACCACCCGCCACTTAAGGACTCTGCAAAGGGTCCTGCTACTTGGCTTCCTTTCGGCATTTTTCTTCTTTTTCTATTTCTTTTCTCTCTGGCTAAATAAATCATTATTCGTCGTTGCGTTTATTTTGACTTTGACAGCACAAACATTTGTGTGTTTGCCATGTATACAAATATATATTTATATAAATATATATATATATATGTATGTCTAGTCATGTCTCTTAAGCCATTTTGAATGCCTGTTTAAATTGTCTTCTGACTTTAAATAGAACCTTAATAATAAAGTAAAATTGCAGCTAAGCATTTCCATAATTTGTTTACCCTTTCTTTTTTATTATCGCAATCTCAAGCTACATTTGTGCCACATTTAATTAATATATTTTATAAATCACGGCCAGCTCATCCTTGTGCATCCTTCCATTTGCTGCCGCAACTTTTGCTGCCGGACATAGCTGGACATTTGCTAAATGACCACAACACTTAGGCCAAGATTTATAATGGTCCAGTTGTTGTTTACTTTTGACTGCACACACACACACACCCACACACAGTTCAGTGTGAGCGGGAAGCTGTGCACAGTTCATTTAGCCGCATGCCATTTGGCCAACCCAAATTACGAGCGTTGATTAGTTTGCTTAGCTTGGCTAAAAAATGAGTATGGCCAAGAGCGTTAAAAAACAGAGCTAGAGTTATTTGCAATAAATTTAAGTGTTATGCTCTGAGCCCGGTTCGTGCCCCAAATGGCAAAAAGGTAACACCCCCAGTTACAGTTACAGTTACAGTTACAGTTACAGTTACAGTTTCTAATTTATGACAAATGCACATGCTCGTCTTGAAGTTTTTGAGACCTGAACCGAGAGCTGGACAATGACCGCCCCCTCGTCCACGCCCCCATCTGTGACAGCACACAAAACTTATTTGTCGATGGCTTTTGCGGTTTTGCAATGCGGCGCAGAATTTCAATTTATTAAAATTTGCATTCCAAAGTGTTGCGTAGTTTGCTGTTTAGTACTTAAAAGTTATGAAACACTGTCTGTGTGCATATGTGTGTGCGTTTGAGTGTTTGTGTGTGCGCACAATATGATGTATGGCACAGCAGGCGGATCGGACAATGATATAGCGCAAGAGATAAATATGTCTGAGCTGCAAACTTCGGGTGTGCATGTCTTGCAGCTAAGCGGATTAATAAATTATAAACTAACGCTAAATCATTTTACAAAAACTAAAAATAAATAATCAAATCAGTTCTAAATAATATACAAAATTATAAGTATAAATTTTAAAATCAATAAATACTATTCTAAAAATATAAATAATAATTATTATATTCTAATTGCGTTTACGAAATCATGTAAGCTCATTTTAAGATTTAAAATTTAAAAATTTATTTTAAATAATAAAAATATATACGAAATAAGTTTGTCTTTTAATGAGTTAATGTCAATATTTTAGATCATTTAGAATTTTTAATCAACTTTCTGAAATGTCCCAGACTTAATAAAATTATATTATAAAATTAGTTTTTAATTTTATTATTTGCCAAATAAATTTTAAAAGCAAATTATTTTTCGATACTCGTGTCACGCTTTAGAGCACGACAAGCGCAGCGCTCTAGCTACATTCACGTCTTCAATTTAGCTGCTTACAAACAAAAACAAAGAAAACGTCACCCAAATATTTGCTAGTTATGCTTATCTATTTCGCTGGCATCTTCGTGTTCGCGGCACATGGCAGGCCCCCGCTCGATGGCTCCCAGGGTGCTGTGTGGGGAGCATGTCAAATTATTTGTATATAATTTACATCCTTTTGCAGGTCCTGCCAAGTGATTTATGTGCGTCTTATGCCAGCACACAATGTGAGCAAATGCCGCCACTATAAATAAATATGCCAAGCGACATTCCAACTACAGCCAGACACAAGTTGTTGGCCTCAGCACTATTATCCTTTTCGCAGGCTAAGTAATTGCTGACTGTTGCCATTTGAGCGCTGAGTTATTTCTTTTCGATACCGAAATTTGATATGCCAACCACATGCTGTGTTTAAATTGCGCTGCCAGCTCCAGGATATCGAAGGTGGATTTCTGTGCTCCCAACCAGCTTGGCTTCGTAATTGAAAATGTAGTTTTTGGCACTGAGAGACAGAGCCAGAGGCGTGCCTCTGATTTTACAAGCTGATTAGATATCCCAGAGCACAAAAAGGGGAAGCAACTGTTTTATATTCGGTCTAAATAGTTTTACATCTGATGCTATTTACGAAGTCTTTCGTTCTCCAACTGAAGTCCAACTGAATGAATGAATAAATGATATGAAACACGATCTTAATGAACATCAACACTAGAAGCTTCAGAATCTCATGATTTCTACTTTGAATTTCAAATCTGTCAACTTGATGTCCCTCGCTCTCTCTTTCTTTCTTTCTGTCCTCCGTCTCTGCCTCTCTCTCTCTCTCTCTCTCTTTCTGTCCCCTATAATGGCTATTCATGAAATACTTTTTAAGATTATGTCATTAACATTGCAACTTGTGCCGGGAACTGGTTCTGGTTCTGGTTCTAGCTCCACTACAGCCATCTCAGCCCTGTAAAGGGGGCAGCCAACGTCTCCAGCCATTTCTACAAGTCGTAATTATGGCATATTTTAATTGCGTTTAGAAATTGTTATTGGAATAGTATTGGCATTAAATGCTTGTAAATAGCTAGACACAATTATTTCATTAGATGCGATTCTTTTAGCTTCCTATTGACTTTATTACCCTTATCTTAAAATAATAATCGTTAAAAATATAAATGCATGAATAGAAGCTAAGTCAGCTACCCTAAAAGCAAGTAAACTAGTTTTTTCTTATAATTCTCAAGTAGTTAAATCATTAAGTGGTTCAATTTGCTATTGATCTCTAAGTTCAATTCCTCAACTCAAAGAGACCACTATGAAATCTGAGATCAGCAACATGTTTGGCTCGAAGCGTAACGGGAACATTTTAGATGCGCATGCGGAACGAACTAGTTTATAGCCGCAACTAATGAACATTTGAGATAAAATCGTCAACATTGCTAAATGATTTTCAGACTTTAGAGAGTTTTCGTTGAAAATGAATCGAAAATTTAGCAACTGTGTGGCTCTGGCTCTGGCTTTGGTGCTCTGTCAACTCTTTTGCTCTACAACTGGAGAATCCTATCAAGTAGGCATGCATAATGTGAGTGAACTAGTTGACTCGAACGGACTCGTTCTGCTGCTCTTCTACTCGAATAGATGCCACTACAGCATGCAGCTATTGCCCATCTTTGATGCAGCCGCAGATCAACTGCACAGTCGACTTGGAGGCTCGGGCCAGTTGGCGTTGGGCAAGGTCAATTGCGACGAGGAGCCCGAAATGGAGAATTATTATGATATTGGCAAGTATCCCACCATAAAGATCGTGCGGTTCCAGCACGTTAGCAAAAATGAGTATCGAGGGCAACGCTCCCTGGAGGCCATCATGGTGTTTGCGATTGAGGAGATACAGGATCCCATCCAGCAGTTCGTCTCTCTGAAAGACCTCTATGATCTAAGTAGCCATAAGTATTTGGTCATTGGGCACTACCAGGACAAATCCAGTGTCGAGTACGACGCCTATCGCAAGGCTGCGAGCAATCTGAAGGATCATTGTCATTTCCATGTTAATTTCAATGCAAGCCATGCGCAAAATTCCCTGACATTTCGGCAGAATATGAATCATACGGAGTCGCTTAGCGTGTTTACCGGCAACATGTCCAGCCAAGAGGATCTGTTGAACTGGTTCCACGAGACGTGTATTCCCATTGTGCGCACACTGACATTCTACAACGCCGAGGAAATCACGGAGGAGGGCAAACCCTTGGTTATACTCTTCCATCACCCTCAAGATACAACATCAAGAAAGGATTTCGAGAAAGTGATCAACGCCGAACTGATAGATGAATTGGAATATGTAAACTTTTTGACTGCCGATGGAAATCTATTTGCCAGTCCCCTCTCCCATATGAAAAAAACAGAGGCCGATCTCCCTTTCATAGCCATAGACACATTCATGCACATGTATCCCTTTCGCAACTACGACGATCTGCATAAGCCGGGCATGCTGAAGCAGTTCGTAGGCAGCCTCTCCTCGGGTGATCTGCACTGGAACTACCATTTCGGAGACTTCGTCGAGTCGGCATCGCAACCTGAAGAACAAGAATATGGAGATGACGATATTCTTTTCACACTGCCGCCCATCTCTAAGTTCAAGGATCTGAGACCCTCCAAACACCGCTATACATTCGCCAGAGATGAGTTATAAGATAAAGAAAGGATCAGAGAAATGAATTCAATATATTCAAAGATCGGATTAAAAAATTTATTGAAGACATTAAACATTAAAAACGTTAAATCAAAGGTTAGTCTACTAGAACTATTTTAATAGCTTGTTATAATAAGATGCAGATCAATTATAATATTAAACAATTTTATATAATACTTAAGCATATGCAACACTCTTGATTAATTAATAAAAATGTTACAATATAATGAAACGATCTGTAAAAGTAATTCGATTTCTGTACAGCTGAGATGAGCAGTTAGGATGTGATGGACACAGAGATATGAAACAAAGTAATGAACAACAGCAAACATATACACTTAATACAGTGAACTAGTTCCATTCCATATAATCCAAATTTATAGGTTTTCCCGTGTCCAACTAGTGCAGAAGAATCTGAACTTAAGAAAATCTATCCCCAGTTTTATATTTTTAAGCCTTACTTCGGACGATTCTTTATAATTATAAATATTTTGGATTTCTAATATCTCCATAGTCTACATAGAAGAAGAAGTCTATGTGCATGCAGAGGACTGACTGTTGGATGCTTGCGCCTAGTTGGACATTCAGACTCTGATTATGGATGCTGCGACAAATCGAACACCAGCCTATATGGGCATGCCTTGCCATTGAGAACCAACTAAAGAGCTGGCACGCGTCTGCATTGGAGGATGTGTGCTGGTTCCTGGAACCAGATCAAAAGAACGCAAAGCATTTGAATATGCGAGACGCACAGAAATGCTAATGAACTCATTAGTGAATCAAAGTGAGCAGCGAGTGCAGCCTGGAACTGGAACTGGAACTGGAACTGGTGCGTGTGCCCCTGGGGCATTTGTCATATAAGGCAGCGCCATAGAGCAAACACTTTTACTCATAAATTGTCATAATTAATAATAAATTTATGGACAGTTGGGCAGTTGGGAACTACCATAAAGAGAACTGAGCTGGTTCGAGTTGGAACCAACTTTGGAGCCCGGTTCTAATGAGCGTCAAGAGCGCGTGCCGTGCCACATGTGCCAAATGCGGCACCTCGCGTAGGCCACGAGCTACAATTACCAGAGTTTTCCATAGTCGGTGCTCGGTGGCTCGTTTTGGAGTGGCAGCTGCCCCACCAAAAAGGTGTTGAGCCACCAGCACCACCAACACCATTAAAGCACCATCCCAGCGACCATGCCCACCATAAATAACTGTCAATAAATGTCAACGTTTTTGGGGCGCATTAACATAGAAGCTAAGCCGATTCCGCTGACAGCTGCTGACGCATGCCCCAAGATGTGGCAGCATCTGCAGCTGTATCAGTGTCTCTATCTTAAGCTGTATCTGGCCATCCATCGCTGTCAGCGTCTGTCTTGGCGCAATTGATTTAATCGCCTTTTAATCGCCTACGCCTCACCTGCTCGGGCCGCACTGCCCAATTACCTGCGCGACTCGTTAGTTACCTGCGGAAGTCACGTGCGGAAGCTTTGCTTTTTTTTCAAGTACCTTCCCGACTTTCCCGGCCTTATAGCGGGTACTCACATGCAAGTTCTATATTAAAGCTAAGTTGGCTTCCGTTTAACATTTACACACTTTGATTTTCCTTTGTAATTAACCCAAATTTTTATGTTTTACAATATTTTTAAGTTAATTATGAAGTGCCGCCTAAATTATGATGATTATTGGGTATTATTACAGAAACTAGGTTAAACTGTTTGAAAATATATACGAATTGAGCCCATCAAAGAAAAGAAAAGCTTTCTAAAAGAATAAAGTTCCTGCGCCTTAGATCTACTTGAATTCCAAGCTTTATGCTTTATAAGACACTTTCGATATAAACTTACAATGCTGCAGCTTAAAGCTTGATCAGTGACACGCAATATGCGCCAATGGAAACGCAAAACGAAGTCAATTTACAGTTAGCGACAGTAAAGCAGAGAGAGACGAAGACAGACACAGAATAAATACGAATACAATTATAAAGGCAAATGCAATTGCAGCTGTAATTGTAATGTGTGATATTTCAATTAAAAGCTAACGGCACAAGTCATTAAATGACAAATACAACATGTACACAACTCAGTATGTGTGTGGCTGTTGGTGTGTATGTATGTGTGTGTGTGAGTGCTCAACATATTCAAAGTTGAGCGCAATCAAATGCGCTGATTCCAATTGCAAGTTCTGCGCGCACAAAAAGCAGTTTACGTCCACTATAAAAAACACAAACAAAACGTTTTTGTTTAATTAAATTAACAAAATACGCGACCGATAGCCAAACAAAAACTCGCATATTTTGCACGCCAGCAACAGCAATACCAAGAACAACAACAACACGTGTTTGCTGCTTCGTCAACTGACTCAAAGAGCGAGAGAGCGCAGTTGCTGCGCGCTCTCTTAAGCTGAACGCTTTGCCGCTTGCACTGCTTGTCCACAGGCCTAACCTGCGCTCTCTCGCTTGCACAGCTCCAACTTGGCTGATTTTTCAAGTCCATTTGTCTTGTGGCTCGCTCGCACCTGAGCGCCGGTCCGAGTGTGACGTTGCCATCTCGCTCGGCGACTGGTTTCAACCCGTTTCAGCCAATCGGCAAAAAGCGGCTCGCCATGTGCGCACCACACACAAAAAAGGCGGAGCACAAGTGCACTTCCTCGCTCCCTCGCACCCCTTCGTAGTGACTCGTAGGTGCCCCGGCCCTATGACGCAGCGCGGCAATGGCGGAGGAGCAGCGCTGCCAGCCTGTCTGTCAACCAATTTGGCGTCCATGACCAACCATGACGACTTCAGCTCCAACTCCGACTCCGATTCCAGCTCCGAACTCCATTCCAAAAGCTGCGGCTTTACATTCTGACATTTCGCACGCACAGCTGTTCCTTCTGCTCCCGTTTGCAGTCTTTTCGAATCCTGCGGTTTTGCAATATGTGAAATGCATTTCCAAAGATTTCCCACTGCGGTTTCCACTGCTAATTGCACGTTTTCTCCAGCAGCTCCGCACAGTTATAACCTTTTGTGTTTGCGCCGGTTTTTGTTTTGTGCTTTCTTATTTCATTTACAAAGTTTTGCCAAATCGGATTATCTTCAGACAATTCTAGAAAGAACTTTTATTTTATACCTAAAATGTGAGAGTTTACAAACTTCATGAATATTTAAAACAAGTTTACAATTTCAAGTCAAATCACGCATTTTATAAAAAGTTGTATATGGAAACTAACGAACGAGTCGTCTTCTTATGTCTATTTGTTGTATGCTTTATACAGAAATTTAAGTTCACAAAAATCTTGTAGCGAACTAGAAACAAAACTTAAAAAAAAAAAATTTAATGTGAAAATTCACAAATTAAAATTAAGAATAAAAAGTAAAAAAAAAAATAAAATAAAATAAATAAATAATTCATGAAGAAGTATTTGTAATGGGAGTTATTTAATAATAAAATAAATACACAATCGAGGGTAGTCTAAACACATTCGAAGATAATAATACAATAATAAATCTCTCCAGAATGAACATATTTAAACAAATATTTGGTCTCTATACAAATAAATTGAATTTTTTATATAGCTTTTTTTTAACTTACCTATTGAGTTAGTAAATATTTGTTGGTCTAAAATTACTTTACTTATCTTGTTAATATTATTTATATAATTTAACAGTACAAAAGTATTAAGAAATTGTAATAAAATAAAAGAAGTAGTCTATATATATTATATACACATATATAACAATTTGGATAGAAAAGAATAAAACTGTTTTTTTTTATTTTTAAATTAGTCATAGGCTTAATAAAAATATAATAAAAATATAATATAAAAATATTTAAATATTTTAAATCAGATAAAAATGTACATAAAATAAAAAAAAATTTAATAAACTTGAGATTTATCATCATTCTGTCAGAGCTGAATGTAAATGTTGGATGTTTCGTCTCAATAAATCTGATTGTCTATTGTAATGCTATGGATTTTACATTTGTCTGCTGGAGAACCATTAAAAAGCCATTTCAGAATATCAAAACAGAATCAAGTAATATCTTGCTCTATGTGGAACTGGTCAAAATTGCATTGATGACAGTGCAAACAGTTGGAATGACAGACGCGATAAGGTCGCCATTAATAGAGGCCAAACAAATGGAAATTCAGCACGAACAGAAATAATTCACAAAAAAACTAAACGTATCGCAGTTGTTGTTGCTGCCGTTGATTGAATTAAATAATCAAATTAGCCGATAAGCGCCGGGCAGCGCCGGCAGCACCGTGCAACACATGAAAATGCACTTTATATTATTATGATTATTGTTTGCCGTCGCGAATCGCAGCGCTAAATAAAGCAATTTCCTAGTAATGCAAAAATGGCAAGCATTACAGCATTGCGAGCGTTTCGCATTCCATTTGCAGCGGCCCCCATGTACCATAATATTCCCCAAAGGTGGCAGCGTTGCAGTTGCTGTTGCAGTTGCATTGATTAACTAACCTGCCATTGCATAATGCCATGCAGCTCGACTCTTTATTTTCATTTTATTTCGTTTAATTTTTTAATTTTATGCAGGCGCTTTTCCCCTATGGAATTGTTGCAGTTGTCAGTCGGGCCCAAAAATCCTCTTCAACAACAACTACCGCAGCAACAACAGCGACGACGAGCGAAGCAGCCATAGTTAAAGAGCGAAGAGAGCAGCTGCTTGTAAAAACTGCCAATGTTGCTAGACGCTGCACGAAAAGGAAACAAAAAATGCCAATCCAAAGGCGAGCAGCCGGAGAGACAATACAAAAACAAAAGCAACGAAAACGAAACGAAAAAAGAATCGCATCGTCAAGTGCTCCAATAAAAATTCCGCCGCCTTTGGCGCACGCTGCACTGCTCGCTCCACAGCGTTGACTGCGCTGCTGCTGCCGCCTGTTGTCTCGCTCAGACACTTTTTTTGATTAAGAGAGCGCCCTCTGCGCTTTTTGCTCCGCTCGCTCTTGAGCTTTCGTTTGAGTGTTTTTATGTGCACTTGAAATGAATACGTGCGATTATTGGCCGCGTGTGAGAAAAAATGAACGAAGCTAAAAAAAGCGCATTTATACGGTTATGTATTTGATTTTCGTTTTTGCTAACGGCTCTTGCAAGAAAAAAACATTTTAATTTGAATATTACATGTATTAAAAACTCATTATTGTTGCTCGATCCGCAAAAGTTGGTCAATGGGCTAATGTGCGTCCAACGCGGCGGATGCTTTTCTGCCTTTTTTTGGTCCGTGTATTTTTGCTGTACTACGCCCACTGTTGGCAGCGAATAACCCTGAAATGGAGAGTCTTCACTGTGGCATGCAACACTTCAGCGATCTGAGTTTTTGATGGCGTTACAGCTTGGATTGAAAGTTCTACTATTGCTTACAATTATTTACTTCTCTTAAAATAAATATATATATAAAGTACAGAGAGCAAGGAACTTAGCTAAAATATGTGGATAAATAATTATTTTTTTATGATATATGTAAAATATTTTTTATTTGGTGCACATGATCATATGAGAATTAAAATCCTTTCGAAATGTGTGTCGTATTCTAATTGGAATTGACAATAAATTTAAGTTGATTTACAATTGTTAAATTGAGATATATCATAAATAAGAAGTAATGCGTAGTAGATATAAAAATATATTATTTATTTGTCAACTCAATATTTTCTCTATCTCGAACTACTAAGAATATTTGATCATTAATATATGTACTTAATGTAGACAACCACGGCTCCTGCTGCTTATTGGATACATTTGTATGTCCTTATATCATCTGAAATAAGATTAGTTAGCTAGCTTGAAAATAAAGTAAGAAGTGGATTTGTATGCTAACCTTCTGTAGGGCATCCCTTTACCGAAGCTGCATAACAAAATTTGTTTCTGTTTTACTGATCTGCTCACCCAGAGGCGGTTGGTTAACCAGCTTCCTTAAGGCACTGTTAAAGACTGAAGCCGGTTAGATCGTACGTTATGACGCAGCCCACGATGAAGATGGCGATGGCGCTAACGATCTGTAGTCCATAGACTACGTAACTCTTGGGAGGATTTTTGCCTTCACGCTCTCGATTGCTTGGCTGATTGCGCCTTATTTGATTTTGATTGCTCGACGACTTGTCGGCTGCTGGAGGAGAATCGCCTGAGCGACGGTTCAGTTGATTCCTCGACGCCGGATTGTCAACTTTGTCGACTTGTGGGGCAGACACCTGTGGTGATGGCTGATCCTCACTGGCTGTTGGAGGTGGCTGATCCTCTCTGGCTGTTTGAGGTGGCTGATCCTCTCTGTCTGTTTGAGGTGGCTGATCCTCTCTGGCTGTTTGAGGTGGCTGATCCTCTCTGTCTGTTTGAGGTGGCTGATCCTCTCTGGCTGTTTGAGGTGGCTGATCCTCTCTGGCTGTTTGAGGCGGCTGATCCTCTCTGGCTGTTTGAGGTGCGTCATTTTCATCCGACATATTTAGCTTATTCTGAACTACAAAATTTCAGTTGTGTACAGTCGAAAGTAAATTCCTACATGATTTAAGAATCTTTAAGTTAACAACAAATAGAGTAAGTAAAAGACACGCCTACTTAAACCGTTAATTATAGCTGCGACTCAAGTTAGAACTTTCCATGTTAGCTGGATGACGCCCACGCCTTATGCTCCGCACACGCTCAAAGAGCAAAAATCAAATCAAAGCTGCTCAAGAGCGCAACAGAGCAAAAACCACAAACAATTTTTTCACACAGCAACAGCACAGAGAGCACTTCGGAGAGCGAGAGAGAGCAAGCTGGAGAGACAGAGAAGGAGAGAGTGAGAGAGGGAGAGAGCGCGCCTTGGCTTTATTTGCTTTGCTTGCGCGCGCCAAAAGAAGCAAAAAGCTGCGCATGCGTCGCAGTAGCCCCCACCCCATCCCGCTTCCACACACAAAAAGCTGCTACGTCAGAGCGAGAGCGCGCAGCAGCCACAGCAAGAGCGCACGTCTATACGAGAGTGTGTGTGAGTGTGTAAGTTGCTGTCGACGTCGTCGTCGCAGTGGCTGCGATTTGGCGGCGAAGGCATTTGAATGTTTTTTTCGTCGGCTCAGCCAGCATTCGAGTTCGGAATTCTTGCGAGCTGGCAGCATAGTTTTTTGCGGGCCGCAGACTATCGAGTAGCCACTGTAGCAGCCAGTGGCCAGCAGCCCAGCCCTGTGGACAGTAGCAGCAGACAGTGACCAGCATCTCAGTTAACAATTTTTAGCCAGGCTCGAGTGCCAAGCGAGTGCGTTTTTTGTGTGCGAGCGCGCGTTACGTCAAGAATTTTGTTGCAGTCGCCAACTGCAACGCATTTTCGTCATACCGCAGCAGTTGCAGCTGGCCCTTTGCTCTGCATTCACAATTAACAAGCGCGTTAAAAAAGTGCAACAACAACAACAGCAGCAACAGCAAACAAGTGCAACATATTGTTAAACACAACAGCAACAACAGCAAAAAAGCCAACGAAAAGGAGGCTCGATGTGCATGAATATTGTGAATGAATATTGTGACGCCATTTTGATTACACTCAGAATAATAAAAGTGCAACGCGATTCTGCTAATTGCCAAGCATTTGTTCACAAGTGAAAGTCTCAAGTAATTACCAAAAATATCAGATTAATCATAATGAGTGCTGCAGTCGAGTGCCTTGAAGAGCGGCAGAGTCAAGTACCCGATGCTAAGCTCTAAAGACTCAAGAACTGAATGTGACTAGCATTAACTGTAGAGACTATTTCGAGTGGTTGAATCAAAGAATTCCTGCCAAGTTTAACGAATCTTCTTAAATCATTATCAAAACAATTTTTAATTGGCTTTGATTTGAATTTATTCATAAAATCTCATGTGAATATAGAAATGTTCCGGAATATGCCAAGCCGATTTTATTACTCTGTGTTCAATCAGATATTGAATTGATTAATTAAATTTGATCAAGCCTTTTGTGGTTAACGTATTACATGAATACGGCAAAAGACCCTTTTTAAAGTTTGCCATATTCAGGCAGCTTTTCTCGACTCTTTTCATATATGTATAATTTCAAAAAAATATATTTTCAAATTCTATTTATTAATTTAAATTGAAAAACTTCCTTTTATGAAGAAACAAATGCGAACTCAAGCCGATTGCAGAAAAGATCTTGCTAGAGAGACTCAGCTGTGAAACATAATTTCCCGTATCTTTATCTATTATTAATAGATCGATGGCAATTTTCATTATATTTTCAGGTGAAAACTGAAATCTGTAAGTCGAATCAGTGCAAAGATGCTGTTGTATTTATAGCTCCAGTCCACATATATGAAACATATGACAAAAGGACATGTGCAATTTGGAAAGTTTAACAACAAAATGCAGTAGCTAAGCTAGGCATTAATAATCCAAAAACGTAAATAAATAAAAGTTAAATAAAACTGTTAAAAAAATCTAAAATAGAAAACCAAGAAAAAGTATCAAGTGAAATGCAAAGTGTAAAAAGTGAGAAAATTAGCAAATAATTTAAAAAAATTATCAATTTGAATAAAAAATAGTGCGTAAAGTGCGGTAGACAGTGTTGAACAACGCCGCAGTTGATCAGCTAAATGATTATGCATGGTACCTGGTACAAAGGACCACAGCTGGCGCATCATCCACACACCGACTACCATCAGTTCCGATCGTATCCTTCGTTCGTTGTGACACCCTATCACGAGGGTCATGCGGCCACGCCCTGCCCCCCAACGCCCTCAACGCCCTGCCACAGCAGCAGCAGCAGCAGCAGCAATCATGGACTCGGACTTGGTCTTGGACTTGGACTTGGAGTTGGAGTTGGACTTGGCCAGAGCGCAGCAGCCGAGCCGGCGCCAATAATTGTCGAAGGCACATTTGCTGCGGCCGCCGCTGCTGCCGCTGCAGCAGCTGCCGCGAATCCCGTTGCAACAGCTGCAACAGCAGCCAGAGCTGCGCCGAGTCCGGCGATCAAAATCGAGCAGGTTTTCGGAGAGCAGACAACTGGGCATTCAACGCTGGTCGAGGACTATGCCCTGAGCCTCGACTGTCCCGTAGAGCATCAGTTTCGGGTAAGTTGCCACTTGCCACATGCCAAGGGGCGTGCCCCAAATCAATTTTCATGAAATCATCCAATAACACTTAAAAGCCACAAAAAATGGGAGAACCACAAAAAGGGCAGCAGCAAAAAACGGCAGCGAGTAAAAAACATGACAACAAACACGCCCCCAAAGACACACACACCCGCACGCTTGCTGGGAGAGCGAGCTAGCGCTCGAGTGAGAGAGCGAGCGAGACAGCCACTGCTTGCTCTTTGCTTGGGCTGAAGAGCGCAGCGAATGCTTTGAGCGGGTTTTTGCTCTCTTGAGCGCAAAGCCTTGAAGCTTGCGTTGGCTTTTTATGGGCGCAGGACATTTTTTGTGCAGCGTTGGTTCGCGCACAGGATATGCCATAATTAGGTAGCGAAATTGTTGCACCCAAAAGCTTTCATCGAAAAGCTCTGCAATCGAATTAACTTGCGCTCGGTCCGCTCGCAAAGGATAAATGGGGATAGCCGTAGCAACAGGTGCTCCATGCAAATATCCTTTATGGCAAGACGGGAAAAACAACTTGTGGAGCTTTGTTGAGGCTTTGCTGTTGGGCAGGTCAAGACAAATGAGATGTAAACATGAGTTGTCCTGTGATGACGATTTGTTATATAAGGAAAATTGTATTCATTTTGCTTAGGTCTGAGCACAATTTGAATTTTTTGAAAACATTTTTTTTGATTTTTAAAATTTTTTTTATAGATTTAATAACTCTTATAGTGTATAAATTCTTACAGATAATTTGAAAATATGCTTGAGCAATCAAAGTAGAAATAAAATCAATTTATTAATATATAAATTAGGTTTATTATCCTTGATCTATTCAAACTACATCTATCCAATTCATATTACATTTTTTTCTCTATTTATATTTGTATACTCCCCTTTCTACTTCTAACTACTCTTTCTGCTACTATTCGAATGGATTCTACTCCTCAAACACACCTCTTCCTATGTTCCCTGCTAATCCTGTTGCTTGAGTTCCTTGCTATTAGGATGCATGGTATCTCAGCATATCGCTGATGCAACTCAGAGAGACAATTGTTATTTTCAACATTTATTGTTTCTCTCTCCATATCGCTCGTCCTTTTATTTCAATTTTCCTGCAACGACGTAGCGCATCTTAAAGGCCACGTTCAGATTTAGCTGCAGCAGCACAACCTTTGCTGTTATCAGCGAATGCTCAAGCAATGCCATATAACTTGTGTGTGTGGGTGTGTGTGCGTGTGTATGGCAAATACTCGCGCTGCCAACGAAATCCTAGCACATAAAAAAGCAGCGCATATAAAAACATATGCTTCGGCTCCTGGTACAGGATACTTGTTTGCTCTTATTCTTATTTTACTTTTCCTTTTTTTCTTTTTACGTTTTACGTCGTTGACGTCGACGTCGATGCAAGCAGCGCTGCCAGCGTCTTGCAGTTGTGGGCAAAAAGTTTTCTTGTTCCGTTTGTTAAGTTGTTTTTAAGGCGCTTAAAAAAGAAATGGCCAAAGGAGCAGTTGATGGAACGGGAGGGGGAGGGGATAGTTGTGCAAGGATAACAGAAAACAATGTAGCTTTATTGAGCAATTATTGAGGATAATAACAGAACGCATAGAACTATATGATGAGATTAGGAAAAACACACAGCAGAAAAACAAAACAAAAATAAAAATGGATATTTCTCTAGGAGCGCAGGAGCTAGGTCATATATATAGCTAGGATATATATAATAAACAAAATGAAGGCAAAGGAATTGATGCTCATGAAATGTTAACGGCCAAGCGCTGACGTCTGACGTCGGCGTCGGCGTCGACGTCGGCGACGCAGCCAGCTTGAATGTTGAATGTTTTTATCCTTTCTTCGATGTGTCGTCGCCGCGCTGCCAGAGTAAGTGTGTGTATGTGTGTGTGTGTGTGCCAGGACATCACACGGTTTTCGCTTTTCTTTTACAACTTTTTGTTATTATTTCGTTTTTTGCTCCGTTTGCAATGTATTTTCTTTCAGTCGCTGCTTTTTTTTTGCTTCATGTGAAGGCAAAAAAAAAATACAATTTCACTTGAATTTTTTTATGCTTTTGCTGGGTGTGTGTCGTGGCCCAGGACCTAGTTGCTGCTGCTGCGGCTGCTGCTGCTGCTATTTCTTGAGTTTCCTCTTCGCGCGCGCCATTTTTGCTGCTGCTACTTACAACAAACATAGCTGCTGATGTTGCTGCTACGGTTACGGCTACGGCTGCTGCCATAAGTCGTCCTGCTGCTGCTTCCGGCGCTGTCGACGCCGACTGCGACGCTCACGATTGTTGCATGTGTCCGTGGCCTTTGGCGCGCTGCAACTGTCGTTGTCTTCAGTTCGCTTGCGTTTGGCCAAATCTATTGGTCGACGGCGCGACGTGCGCGTACGCGTCGCGTGTTTCTTTCTGCCAACCAACGCTAGGTGGCGCCACGTGACGAACAAACAACCCAAAACACACACAAATCAAACAACACAAAC